GGGGGGGGGGGGGGGCGCGGGCGCCCTCCGCGTCTCCATCCCCAACCCTTCCCCCCTCAACCCCTCCGAGCAACCCCCTCCCTTCACCCTCCTCTTCCTCGCCGCTCCAGCGCTCACGATTTTTAGTCTGTTTTGTCTCGGCTTCCCTAGGAGTGGGTTATGGGGCCGACCGCCGGCGGGGCCGCCAGATCTATTCCCGCTACCAGACGCTGGAGCTGGAGAAGGAATTTCACTTCAACCGCTACCTGACCCGCCGGCGCCGCATCGAGATCGCCAACGCGATCTGCCTCACCGAGCGCCAGATCAAGATCTGGTTCCAGAACCGGCGCATGAAGTGGAAAAAAGAGAGTAACTTGAGCTCCACCCTGTCCGGAGCCGGCAGCGGCCCCGCCGCCGCCGCCGCCGCCGCCGCCGACCGCTTGGCCGCCACGGAGAGAAACGGGACGAGACAGAAGAGGAGAAGCAGAAAGAGTGAAAAGGAGCGAGAGAAAACATAATAATTAAAGGAAATAAGTTAAGGGAAATTGATAAAAAAAATAAAAATAAAAAGAGTGACAGCTCAGCACCCCCCTGCCCGCCCTTCCTCCCATCATGTATTTATCACTGGCACAATTGAGATGTTTGGCTACATTTAAAAAAATAATAATAAATAATAAGAATGTGGGCCCTCCCTGCTATCACAGTTCATAACTCCACGGACTCGCCCCGTGCGGGCTCTGCAACCCACCCACCCCCCTTCCGCCATCCCTCCGCCCTGCCTATTTATCTAACTCGGAATAAGACTGTGTTTAAAGCCGCACGCTTCTCCTCCTGTGATTATGTATAAAAAAATAAAGGGGAGGGGGGTCGCAGCCACCCGGCAGTGCTGCCTCCCCATGTTGGGTCCCCCCCCTGTAACATGGACTCTACCCCGGGGTTTCCTTCCTCTTCCTCCAAGACGAGCGACTTTTCCTCCCCGTGGTGCAAATCTGTTTCCCCGAAAAAGCTCCTTCAACCCAAATCTAGCATTTTGGGTTTGTTTTTGTTTTTATTTTTGGGGTATAATTTTATTTTTAGTTTTTATTTTTTTATTTTTTCTCGAGAGCATCCTCCTCGTATTTAAACCTGGGCTCATCGCTGCATACTACAAACTGTGACAGTTTCTGTGTGGATATTTTTAACTGTGTTCGTGGTACCTGTATTTATATTTATGTTTAGCACTGTAATGTTCCACGGTATAAAGTGAATGGAGTTCTATAGCAGTAGGAAAAAATGCAAAAAAAAAAGTAAAAAAAAAATTGTGTTACACCCTCTCATGTATAAAGGTCATGTCCAGAGGACTATGTTGAGTATTTAATAAAAACTGAATATTATTTTTAAAGTTTATAGAATGGCCTCTGAGCTTCAGTCGAAACCCTTTTTTCCCTTTCTTTCTTTCTTTCTATTTTTTTTTCCGTGTTGGTAACAGCCTGTTAGAAAGTTCACTTAGCTTCTGTGTGTTGTTCCTTGAAAAAAAAAATCAGTTCCCTCTGGCCTTATTTTTTCTTCATATCTCTCTCATTCAAGACTATTCCCCCGGCAAGAAAAAAAAATAAGGGGGGAAAATACATTCTGCTTTGTCTCCTTGAATGAGTCTTGTTACTGTATTGTTCGCTGGCATCAGGAATCTATGCCATACCTCTCGCTTCATGATTAAAATGGATTTCCAAAGTTCAAAACAGTATATATTTCTTATTGCAATCCTCCCCAGTCAAATCCCAGGTCAAAGTGTTTGCATTTCGGATTTATTTTTTTAATTCTGATTCTGATTTAAGCCTGATTTAAGCCGCAGAGCAGCAGCTGTATGGAAGGACACACTTCACCCCAGACCCTTTCAACCTCGTTTGCCAGGGAGAGGGGGGAGGCTCTTCTCTCCACAAACTGCTCCTCGGGAGAGCGGAAATTGCCGATATAACGCCACGAAATAAGCAGAGCTGATGTGAAAAGTGCGGAGTCGGGGCTTATATCATGTCTCACCCAGGCTGTCCGAGAAAGGGCTTTAATTTCCCTCGCCTCTTTGTCAGGGTTCTAATATTTGCTTGGTTGTTGGGGTAGGCAGCTCTTACGCGGGGCAAAAGCTACCCTGGAAGGAGCTTAAAGTCGCCTTAAATTTATTTTTCCCCTAAATGAAACAAGCAGGACTCAGTGTTAAACGGCCATAACAACAACTGCAAAAAAAGCCTAGGGAGATTTTTTTTTTCACACCATCATTTGCTCTTCCCCAGCCTGGAATGTGCACGCACTTCTTTCCCCTTTCTTCCCAAAGATGCAGGAAAAAAAAATCACACACACACCTAAATCTGCCTCTAAAAAATACGAAACAAAACGAGCCACCGTCCAGCGGGACCCAGGAGCATTTTGAAAGAAGGGCGACCTGGCGACAAAACAGAGAGACTTCCTGGCCAAACCGCCGCTCACCCTCGCTGAAATTAAAATTTATAAAGCGATAAGACATAAGAAGAAGAAAGGAAGAGGAAGAAGAGGAGAAAAAAAGGAAAATAATGCCTCTGCCCACAGCCACACATGTATGTTTTAGCGCACGTATAGAGAGGAGGAAGGCAGCCTGCATTGCGTTCCATACAGCGCCCGGCTACGGAAGGAATATAAAGCAAATGTGCTCAAATCCGCGATTTAAAGCCCAAAGGCGAAGCAGCCTGGAGGGGGGGCTCTGTTTTGCTGCAACCCCCCCGCTCTAAAGCACCAGGGCGAAAAGGAGGGGGTAAAAACCTCGACTCGGGGAGCATTTATTGAATCCGGGATGCCCTTTGAAGAGAGAGGGCTGATTTCTCCGAAAGCAGCAGGCGAGGAATTCCGAGCTTCTCCGAACAATAAATTGTGGTGGTAAAGGTTAAAAAAAAAAAAGAAAAAAAAAAGAGAGAAAGCAAATCAAGAAAATGAATTTTAAAAAAGGAGAAAAATGCAAAGTTGGGCGCCCCGGAGGAGCCGCAGCGTGGGACGAGCCGCACGTCGTGCTCCGACCTTCCCCAGCTCCGCGCAGCCCCCGGGGACAGTGAG